TACAAATGTATGTAGGCTATTCAATATGAACTGTTCGATTATGTGCTTAGTTGTTTTCTCGAAAGCAAAGCTAATAAAAAGAACTACATGTCAAATAACTTTAAATTTCTGAAGTCTATTGACAAATGAACATGATTTGTAGTAATGTAAAGTGAATGACTAAAAGTAAGAGATAGGGAAAGAGGAAAGGAGTACTTAAGAAAAAATCCATTACAACTTAACGTTTATACAGCAATGAAAAGTTGACAATATTAATGGTGAAATTATTTATTAACGGGTCAATCATAACCGGAATAGATCAACGGTAATGTCTTAGACGATAGAGAACACCAGTTTCCCTGTGATTATAAGGACCTCTAGCTTAAGAGCACTAATTAGGAAAAAACATAGGTCGAATAGTATTTCCTATCGACTATTTCCAAAAGACCAAATTAATGCTGAATATTTATATCAATCATTCATAGAGTAGTAAACAATGTCCAGTGCTTCGATGATGATCAATTCTTATCAATCAAATTATTTTATCTCCATTAGGGTAAATGTATAAACATTTCAGTCGTATGGTAAAATCACTGGAGACAATAATTAAAATAGTCTCAAATCTTATAGAGAATATCATTACATCTAAAAGTGGAAATAAATCTTACTGCTTAATACCACTTAGCAGAAATATCAAATACATCGATTATCAAGAACCTTCACTAATAATTCATATATTAGACTATAAGTGTTTTATTATCTAAATGAGTCTTTAATGATGATAACGCATTTTAGAGTATTGGTTGGTTGCATTATTCTCACGTAAAAATCTTTAAAATAAATTAACAGAACCTTTTAAAGTTAAACAGGTTTATGAAAAGTAATTTTAATGATAAACATGATATAAAACTAGTCAAAACACTAATAATATTAAATCGGTAAGTTATTTACTTAAAATTTGAAAATAATTCATAAAGTCAGTGTTAAAATAAATCTGACATTTAAGATGTAGAATCCTTCAAATAATTGGGCAGCATAATCGATGAACATGGAGGATTGGATGCAGACGTAAAGGCGAGGATCGTCAAAGCAAGGACAGTATTCTTACAATTAAAAAACATATGGAACTCAAAACAACCGTCTGTCAACAAACATCAAAACCAAGATCTTCAATGCGAACCTCAAGACAGTTCTATTGTACTGAGCTGAAACTTGCAGAACTACTACAACCATCATCAAAGCTGTACAAGTATTTGTAAACATTTTTCCATGCAAAATACTCAATATCTGTTGACTGGATTCCATCAGCGACAGTCTCCTGTAGGAGAGAACAAACCAACTTCAAGCTGAAGAGGAAATTAGGAAAAGATTTTAAAAGTAGATAGGACGCACATTACAGAAACCACCAAACTACTAAATTCATATCTTGAAGGGGAATGGAAAAGAAGAATATCAAGGAACACATTATGTTGGGAATTGGAATCAGACATCAGAAGAATCAATAGCAACTGGAAAGTAATTCCTAGGACAGGCTTGGGTGGAGAGTGCTGGTGGGCAGCCTGTGTTCCTCTATGAGGAGCGTAAGTAAATAAGTAGGTAAATAAACAAATAAAGAAGGAAGAAAGGAAGTACTTCCTCTACATAGACTGCATTGATATTTCCATTTAGTTATCATTCAACATTATCCAAAATGGACTATTAAACAACAATATTGAGAGCATCTACTCAGGATCTCAACTAAACTGAACTAACAGAATCGTACGTTTAAATATCAACAACAGAAAAATGGTAAAAATATCCTATTTTATTCGGGAATATCGTGTTGAATTATTCATGAAAATATACTTAATAGATTCAAAATTCGATATGATTCATTGTGAATCACGTAGTACACGAAGTAATATTAATAAAAATTCTTCTTATTCTTATCGGGAAATTTGTGGAGATTATAGAATTTTTAAAGTTTAAATCACAAACTTATCTTAGATTACCAGTGGAAATCTGGAAGCACTAGACAGAGCGATCCGGCAATCGAGCACAATACCTTCGATCTTACATGCCAAATCCTAACGTTTAGATGATAAAACCCTATATTAATAATAGAAATGTCTTCATTAGTGACCAAATTCAACATGCTATTCTTGGAGTTTTAATGAGAAGCGGTAATCAGTGAAGTTCAGGAATGTGGGATGTGAGATACATCCACTGCAGGAAATAAATGAAAGTCACATAAATACTTGCTTGAAGTTAAACAATAACACCATTAGGTACCAGGCAGTTGTTGAAGGATTAATTTTTGGGGAGTGAAATCAAAGTTTCCGGGTTTGAGCCCCTGTGGTGAGATCAGAGATGTACACTGCTAAGGAGTCCCATACTAGGGCGAAACGGTCGTCCAGTTCTTCTAGGCTTTCAGTGATGGTCTACCTAGGATGATTTCATGATTTAAATTATGAAAATTAATCTTACTGAAACCATATAATAATGATTTGTTTCAGTGCTCAAACTGTTTTTAAAAAAATAAGATTTTTTGTTGTCACGGCAGCTAATGAAATGTATGTTGAAAACATGCTAGTCAAGTGTGAAAATATATAGACACCTAATTCTCACTTTACATTTGATCATTAAAAAATTCAATGGGGCATGATCAGAATAAAGGAAAATTCCACTTCTTTTTTCGATAATGTTACTTCAAGTTTCTATGGAAATATCTAATGAATAAAAGTGTGATTATTAATTTTAATGATGGTTACCACTAGATGTAATTCAGTCAACCATATTCCAAACTTCGTTTGGAAGAAAAAGATAGTTTAAAATGATCTTTACTATCTTCCTTTTCACAAAACCTACATCATAGGATAAGTGCTTTTTTATACATTAAAAATGATTAAAACTGGAAATATGAATAATTGACTGTGCTGACGTAGTGATTTTATGGTATCTTAAATGTTCTTGATTCTATTTAGTGAAAAGTTATGAGTGTACTTTGTGAAGAAAGTTCCAAGATAAACGTTAAGTCCTTCATGTTTGTTTCGACTATATTCCAGCTGACATCAGATTATAACAGTAATTATCTTCAAACTGATCTTTATGAACCACTCAATTAAATATTTAAAAATAGTGGTTAAAGTTCATTTTTTTAAATAACATAGTACATCTTTATCCTTTTCACAGTATCAGGTGTTATGGAACTTTGGATTTTGACTAACTGACTTCTTGATATTATTTTCACCTAGGAGATCCATCGGTCTTGTCTAATTCAATGAATGTTTAGTTATAAATGGGGATTTTTAATAAGTCAAAATGTATGAAGAAAGAACTATCTAAAAGTTGTGAATCAGATGTTTGGACTATTGTAACAGACTGGTAGATACCCGCTGGTTCGTAACTCTGAAAATTTACTCTCCATTGATACACTGTTTATGAATTGACACCTGATACACAGTATTTATGCTATTTAATTCAAAATACTTCACCTGAACAATGACTACACTCAGGTGAACATTAGGGAATCCCTTCCATAATTCAGGAAGCATTCCCCAAACAAGCCTAAATACCCTCTCAACTACTTCCAACCACCTAGTAGTCCAACGTAGTGTAGGTGATATCGAGTTGCTCAACTTAGTACCAAAAACTGGAATTTGATCAACAGAATTCCACTAGAAATAAAGTACCAGACAGGCATAAAATAAGCTACTAATCAATGATCAATCAACTATACCGTAGAACGGTGTTTAATGTCCTATAAAAAATACAGAAGAACACGAGGACTGTGGTCTTTCTTCTCTATTGTTATCTTATAAATATACAGTTGTCGATAAGTGAAATATTTTTAAAAATCTTTTTCCGTTTACGATCCTTGAGTTTATGTTGAAAATCGTTAACCATATAAGCTGAAGTATGTGTTCATTTAACTTCCATCATATAGTGCAATCATAGAAAGTTAGACTAAAAAATAAATATCACTTAGCCCTGAAGTTAATGTTCAAACTCGTTACCATTCCGCAAGAAATTTGTCTGAGAATTTTTTCATATAACTTGGAAAAACGTTTGAACTAATGAAGTGATTTTGAAAGACATCTTTCAATAATCAGGTATATATTTAAAATAATCTATACCGTAAAACAATCCGTTGTTTTCTGCCTATCCACCCATAATTTGATAGTGAAGAGTTTTCAATGTCAACCACTTCACTACTTATCCCGTCTTAACTTTTCTAGACTATAACAGGAAATATCCCCTTGAATTAATACAATTCAGAAGTAAGTGATTAATTCACTTCATTGAATCAGTGTGACAACTAGCTATTAAATTGTCTGCCCCCTGTAGAAACAAATGCATTAAGCCATATGTCATGACCTTACATACTTGAGACACGTTCACACCCGCCCCCTTGAAGATTAGTTAAAGCGTATGATATTCAGTCTGTTGTATGATAGCCCACCCACTCATTTATTGCCATACGTGCCATGCTTCACATACGGACGCACCAATCTCGTCGAATGACATATGAGCTGCCGCATGTGTCATGTGACAGCTGTAGGGTGCCAATCGGAGTAAGGCAGGTTTGATAGACAGGGTGACAGCAATGTATATCTCAACCCTAGGCAGTGAGCGCGAAAACACACATATGCGGACAAGTTTTATCTCCCCCACAAATGTTTCATACATGTGAGATAAACAGTGGTGCGTCAAACTATTATTTGCTCAATACTAGTGGATTATTATATCTCACCCCCTAACTTTATCATATGTGTAGCTTCTGACGCTATTTGACACGTCGTCAGAATGCCACTATCAAAGAAACATGAAATTTGTAGTCCATCCATTTTTAAATTCATTGATTTGGAAAACGGATGAAATGCGAACATATTAAAAATTTACAAATTTCCTGATTATTTATTACCTAATAAAAACCCGTACAATTGTGTCACCGTAGATTAATAGAACAATTCCAATTCATTACTTCCTAGGTGAAAAGAAATCTATACGAAGGAGAAAAAATAACCGTAACAGAAATAAACATGGGTCTTCTCCCATTACTTGATGCATCTGATGTATTAGTCCTACATTGTCCATTATGTTATTTCCACACACATTGGTTAAATCATCTAGAAATTCACTTCAATCACGAACATTCATATGAAAATGTGGATTTTATGTTATATCAATGCTCTAAGTGTCGAAAAATTGCTTCATGTAAAACATTCCTCTATGAACATATTGATATTTGCCACAAGAGATCTGGTAAGTCTACCATTCAATCGTCTAGAGCTCAATCACCAAACAATACATTATCAGATCATGAAAGTAATAATATTCAACAGCAAAATCCACAAACCATTGAACAATGTAACAATAACCATAATGCATCAATAGATATTATTGGTCCTAATGGGATTATTAATAATAACAGTTGTTTAACTATTAATCCGAGTCATGATGAAAAACAAATTAACGAGGATATTAACAGTGATGAAAATGAGACCATCAATAAAAGTGATGTCAGTAATAATAGTGATAATAATGATAATACTAACAAGAGTGACACTGATGAGTTTACTAACCACAATAATCCTATTATTAGTGATAGTAATGAAAATAATGAGAAAGAAGAACCAGTCCTTAATGATACTAAAAATCAATCTCCATATATTAAAATTTTATTTGTAGGCCAGTTATGTGGTAGTAATTCAACATTGTCACCATCAATCCTATCCACAACTGGTACAATATCAGCAAGTACCATTACCCTTACCGCTGCCACAACAACACTTCTACCATCAACATCTTTATGTGAAACATTTACAAAATCAAAACATAATTCATTACATCACTCACAAAATTTACATAATTATCACTATTTGAATTCAATTAAACATCAATGTTTATTTTGTGATTACACTAGTTCGGATTCTACTAAATTAGCTGAACATTACGTACAGCATGGAATAAGACAGTTACAATTACCAAATACCATGCATAAATTCAAAAAATTACATAGAATTCAAGCAATATCTGATGATAATAATGATAACATATCAACGAATCCTTTAACAGTTATGGATGAATTGACTAAAGTAAGTACTTTGAATAGTTATCATTATTTCTTGTTTGTCATTACTGTTAATATCATTGCTAATAGTAGAAGTAATAGTGATCAGTGGCTATAAACGTCAGATGAAATAACGCAGCACTGATCATATTGAAACAGATTGGTTCATTCTTCATCCTCGTCATAATCTTCTCCTCTATTGTTCTTTCATATAGACCTCATCATTGTTGTTTTTTTAATTATCGAATCATATTTTCAATATTTTGTTTTTCTCATTATTATGAATAAATTTTAGTCCTTTATCACTTTTCGAGTTGATTCTATCTTGTCTTGTTAACGTAACATAATAACTTGGGCTAATATACATTTATTCCTGACTCTATATTGATTTCAAAATAGTGACTAACTGGATGATTAATTTTATTGTATTATTATAGAAAATTACATGGATTATGCTATTAGATAGTTATACGGTAAATGCACTATTTCGTATATCAAATTTGGTTAAAGAATAAATTCAACTGCAATTATCCTATGTTAATCATGATATAAACAAATAACCACCATGTTTTTAAATGTAATTGAAATCATTCAAGTGTTATTTATTATCGTTATTATTTATTATAAATTTAGTATAAATATATTATAAACTTTAGTAAAAGTTCTTAAACAATTTTCATCATGGACATCAGTTACAGAATCATTAGGAACACAGGATGAAATATTTTGTTTTAGTTTAAGACTAGTTATCAGTGCATACATAATAGGCCTTAAGAAGATTATAAATACGTAAATTCGAGAAGTTTAAGAACTCAAAGAAAAATCTGTTTAGTACAGAATGACTTCCAATAACTTTTTAACTGATATCAGTCTACAGTGAAAAATACCCTTACATTTTCGTTCCTGTTATTATTATCATTATTATTGACGAACGCTTAAAAAGGGAAGGGCAAATACCTACCTTCTCCTTTTTACTCATCACTTCAACTCGATTACATATCTGTTTGATACTCGTGGATGGTAATCATTTGAATTGTGTACACATATACACACAATACAAGTATTTTTGCTTTTAATGGTCTTTGGAAATAATAGATAAAACTGAAATGCTTACTATTGATTACTATTTATTTATTTATTTGTTTGAACACATAAATATTGGTACAGGGGGGCACCAAATATATATGCGCCACACAAAACAGTGATAATTAGAAGAGAAGGAGAAAAGAGAAGAAAAAAAAAAAAAAGTAATGAACGTGGGGAATTATAAAAAAAAAAGAAGAGAGAGAGAGAGAACAATGGTGGGGGAAACGGAAAGGTACAATCAGAACAGATCTTTCAGTTAAGGAAGAATACGACCACCTTTTTATGAAGAAAGTAAAAGAAGGTTACAGCAGGATCGCCACTGGCTTCTATTCTGAGCCATATCTGATAACGTCTCTAGCCACTGCGTTACACCATCTCTCGGACCCCAACCAGGGAGTCGTGAAGGACCAACATAAGCTAGCCCTTTGCAGCTTTCTTTCATACCACGACACCATGTCATATACTGACCACCTCTCCGCTTTTTCCAACCAGTCCCAGAGTCGGCAAATAATGCACGACGAGGAATTCTCTGGGACGACATTCGTAGAACATGTCCAAGCCACCGAAGTCGGTGTTTCAAGATGGTGACACCAATTTCATTATCGTCTCTGTGACCGAACACTCGATGCCGAACCTCTGCATTACTGACATGGTGTTGCCACTGGATGCCAGCAATCCTTCGGAGGCAACGATGATCGAACACAGAGAGTCGTCGAACATCCTCAACTCGGAGAGGCCAGGTTTCACAAGCATAGAGCAAAACTGCTCTCACCGTCGCGTTGTAGATCCGACCTTTTACAGCCAGACTAACATCACGAAGGCGCCAAAGATGGCCCAGATTGGCATAAGCCGCTCTGGCTTTCACTATACGTGCATTGATCTCATCACTCACGCCACCACCAGCACTTATGCAGCTACCTAGATACACGAACTTCTCGACTACTTCAATCTGCTCACCATCCAGAGTGAGTACAGGATTAGAATCCTGCCAGTCTTGTAGAAGTACTTTGCACTTCGAAGGTGCAAAGCACATACCATACCTACGGACACTGATTGCCAACTGATTAAGTGCGGATTGCATGGCTTGGGCATTCTCGCACAGTAAGACAATATCATCCGCATACTCAAGGTCGAGAAGTCTTTCTCCAGGCAACAGATCCACACCACCATTACTTACATCCGTCAGAGCTGTTTCCAGAATGTCATCGATGGCAAAGTTCGCTTTTCGTCCTCTCATTTTCGTAAACAACACCCCCGCCACGTGAAGGCAGTGAGTAGGACTTCCCTGGCAGAGGCTGTATACGCGTGGCCGTGTGAGAGTATTTCGAGAGGGAGGGCGAACCCTCCCCGCTCTCGGCCATACCAGGGCATGCTTACTATTGATTACTATTAAATATTTTAGATCATTTTCAAATAATAATATATAATTTTTGCATTCATTATAACATATATTTTCCTCTTTTTGTGTCATTATAATCAACCAAATGAGTTAACTAGTCATATGTAACTAGTCTCGGTTACTTCACCAAATAATCAATGATAATTTTAAGTATTAAAGTAGAACGTAGGAAAGTATTCCTTTTCTGTAAAAGATTTAATCTTACTATTTTAACTATTTTATACAATCACATATATATATATATATATATATATATATATATATATATATATATATATATATATATATATATATATATATATAACCAGGTCTATTGTGAGATAGTGACTCATTGAAGACAATGATGAACGGTGGCGAAATTTCGTGGATTAGTTGAAGTTAGACATTAACATGATTGGATGTCAGCTCAGTGGTCTGGAGTTTAAGTGTTCGCAAGTACGACCAAGAGATCCTGGGTTAAAATCTTATGAGGCGGAGTTGTGGATGCGAACTTCTGAGGAGTCCCACAGTCAGACGAACCGGTCGTCCAGTGCTTCCAGGTTTTCCATGGTGGTCTAGCTTCAATCGACTCATATATTCAACTACCAAATTAATTTAATTTCATAAATTCCAACTCGTCTAAAAGTATTATGATTTTCATTGGGAGATAATTTTATGATGCGAGTTCAATACTCAATAATATTTGTTATGAATAAGCATTTTAGACTAGAATAAAAACATGTTCACAGTATTATACTTCCTTACTTCTTAATGATTAATGGTTTAAGTCGGAAAATGTTTATTATTATTTTCTCAAATCCATTAGTTACTGTATTCATAATAAAAAATAATTGATAACTTACTGTAATTTCATGTTATATTAAGGCTTTTTGTTGTTGTTGTTGATTGGTATAAGTATTCGAAAAGTTCCACTTGTAAATAATTGCTATAATCGATCTAAGTAAACAATAGTTGTACGTTTTCATTAATAACTGGAATCAATAAATTATGTTTGTAGTAGTCTTACTATTAATGAATGGGATATTATTTCATAGTTTAAAGTAATGAATGATCATGTTGATATATCATACATTTAACTGATGTATAAAATATGATCTACTGAATTTTCAACTGATGATTTAACTCTAACATTTTTGAAGAAAAAAGATTTGAATGTCACCTTTCAGAAGTAATTGATATCTGTTTACTTTGTTTTGTCGAACTGTTCAATGATTGTTCTCTTGCTTGGAGGTTCACTTATCAACTTGAAATACACATAGACAATATAATCTTATTTATTGAAGATAATGGGATAATGAAGTCTTTGTATCACGATGAAAAACAATATAAGCATGTTTAAAATGCTTTCTCTCTCTCTCTCTGAATGTCATTTTGGTATATGGAGGCTACCTAGTTAGGGTCTGTGTAATAGCCGGAATTAGTGGTCGAAAATATAAAGTGGCATAGTTCAGAATCAATTGAAGTCTCACGGATCCATTCACATTTTATATTGCTTTATTCCTTCGTGTGCATCTCATTCCTCGCTCTCAAAATATACTATCATTTTCTAGTTTTCTTATTTTAATTACTACTGTATTAATTCAATTTTTTCCTACTCATCTTATCAGTTTCATCTATGCGTGCTGATATGGCATAACAGCATATATTAACGCACATATTTACCTGAATCTATGTTAATTATAATTGATTAATTGAATAGTTATTTCATTCATAAACTAAACCTTCTCATAATTTTTTCGGTAATAGTTTCTTATACTCAACCTTGTGTGTATGGCTATGACTAAGAGTCAGTGAAGTCTTAAAGAGTAAAGTCAGAAGGCAGAAGAACAATGTCAGGTAACACAGTTCTATAGTAACCGTTGAAAAGGCTAGGTTCATATGATATACTCTTCATTCTAGAATGTAATCATGAGGATTGTGCAGTTCAACAGCTAATAATAAAAACCATTAATAACATCACTGTAATTCTCTGGCTTATTCTTTATGCATATAAAGCAAACCTTCTTTACTGAAAGAAGTTTTTCTGGTTTGCAATTTTAACTGTAATATAGCTTTTTAGGGGAATACTATCCATCTTTATTCATTTGTTGATTGTGTAACATTACCTTCTATTTCTTTAAAATATTATCATTTCATTGTATGTGTTACAGTTATGCTTTTCTATGTTAATCTGTCATATCGACATTTTTATGTGTATTATAAACTGTATTGTTAAGATTAAATTATTCTGTGTTTGGTAATTTAGTTAAATTTGTCTTAAAAATACTACTGAAGGGTTTGTTTTTTCTTCCGAGAAAGAATTAGTTTCAGGGTATATATTTTCAACATTAATTGTTGAGTATTTAATGTAAAAAGATCACTCAAGTGTTAGGTTGTTGAGCAAATCTACATGCAACATGTTATATACTCAAAAAATCCTATTTCCATGTTGTGATATATACGTATGTGTATAAAGAGAGGAACCAAATATCATTTGATATTTTAAACATTTCACCAAATATATACTCATTCTTTACTAAAGCCAATGCTGAGTATAAGAATAATTCACCATATATTGCTTTTTTCATATCAAATATGAGTTTTCAAAGAAGTTTTGAATAGACTCTTCCTTCATTCAATACATTTTGAAACATTCCTTTTCAAAAAATCTAATATCAAACTAACTGGAAAAAGTAATGGTCTGAGTTAATTATTACTCCATGTATAATCGTTTCTGTGTTATTTTTTCCTACTTCATATACTATTAAATCATTTAATTTTACAATCATGATACTCTAAAGTTAATTTAGTGATGAAACATGATTGACAACAATTAGTAAGTAGTGTTTCCTTAAATAATGTTCATTACTGAAGATAATATAATTTGTAACAAGCTGAAGTCTTAATTCATTTTATATTAGCTGTTTGAATCTTCCCATTGATGTTTAGGACTGCAATTATTGAATCTATTATTAGCATGTGTGCATTGTGTGCAGATTGCCTCGATATTGCCCTAAATCACAAGCATCATTAGTAGAAATGGATGGACAT